AAGAGGGAAGTGGACGTAGGTAAAAAAGGACAAAATGAGTGATCCCTGTGGTGATGGAAGTGTTCTGTATTATCACTGCATCAAAATCAATATCCTGTTTGTCTTACGTGTATTATAGTTTTGGAAGATGTAACCATTGAGCAAACTGGGTAAGTTCACAAGGAATCACCATATTACTTCCAATAGCTGCATGTGAATCAACAATTATCTCAAAATAAAAAGTTTAATTAAAAAAATCAGTTGAGGGCCGGCCCGGTGGCGCACTGGAGAGTGCGCCGCTTGGGAGCGCGGCGGCGCTCCCGCCGAGGCTTCAGATCCCATGTGGAGACCGGTTCCCGCTCACTGGCTGAGCGCGGTGCGGGTGCAACACCGAGGGCTGCGATCCCATTGCCGGTCCCCAGTACGGGCGCGACACCGAGGGTTGCGATCCCGTTACCGGTCAGTAAAAAAGATAAAAAGGAAAAAAAAAAAAGAAAGAAACCCTGTATTAGAAATTATACATGTAAAGAAAGTAAGTTTTCATTTTGCCCAGATACTAATCCCTCTATTCTTCCCAGAGGCAGCCTGTTTTGTTTCTTTTATATCCTGCTGGAAATATTCTATGCCTATACAGGTGTACACACATATGTACAACAACTCATATGCAAATGAGTTGTTGTACATACTATTATGTACTTTTCTACTTGAGATCTGTATCTTGAAGATTATTGGCTATCAGTATACAGAGATCATTCTTCGTTTGTAAATGGCTGTGTAATATTAATTTAGAAGTATACACCATAATTTACATGTAATTTGTTTCTAAACTTTTACAATTACAGACAGTGCTTCAACAGTCATTTAAAAAATCAGTTGATCATACATGTAATATGTATAGGACTACTCTGTTCCACTGATATATTTTTACATGAATACCACACTGTCAGCTGGTTAGCTGAGTTGGTGAGAGTATGGTGCTGATAAAACCAAGGTCCAGGGTTCAATCCCTATATTGGCCTTGTAGCTTTCTTGATTACTTGTAGCTTTACAATAAATCATGAAATAGTTTATATTAGCCCTGCAATTTTGTTGTTCTTTTTGAAAATATTTGGAATATTCTAGGTTTGTTACATTTCTGCAATAACTTTAGAATTGGCTTGTCAATTTCTAGAATAGCCTGATGGGATTTTGATTGTGACTGCTTTGAATGTATAGATCAGTTTGGGGAGAACTGACATCTTAAAAAGACTGAGGCTTCCACTGAATGAGTATGGTATATCTTTCCATTTATTCATTTTGAAAATTTTCCTCAACAATGTTTTGTACATTTCTGTCTTGAATATCTTTTGTCAGATTTATTCTTAGTACTTTATATTTTTTGATGTTATTGCAAGAAATACTTTCAAAACTTCTGATTGTTCATTACCAGCATATAGAAATACAGTTGATTTCTGCCCACTGATCTTGTTTGGATCTTGCAACATTGCTAAACTCATTTATTAGTTCTAGAAACTTCAATAGATTCCATAGGATTTTTACATAGATGATCACTTCATCTACAAATAAAGACAGTTTAGACTCTTTACTTTTCAATCAGAATGCTTTTTATTTCTTTTTCTTGCCTTATTGCACTGGATAGAAACGCCAGTAGAATGATTAATAGAAGTAGTAGGAGTAGACATCTTTATCTTGTTCCTTATGTTATGGAAAACATTCAGTCTTTTACCATTAAGTACACTGTAACTTTTTGGTTTTATAGATGTCTTTCATTGAATTGATGATGTTCTCTTCTATTTCTAGTTCACTGGGAATTTTTATTAGAAATACATGACTGACTTCCTCAAATAATTTTTTTTTTCTTTTTGTCTCTTTTTTCGTGACCGGTAACGGGATCGCAACCCTCAGTGTCGCGCCTGTACCGCGACCGGCAACGGGATCGCAATCCTCGGTGTCACGCCCGCACCGCGCTCAACCAGTGAGCGGACCGGTCTCTGTATGGGATCCGAACCCTCAGTGGGAGCGCCGCCGCACTCCCAAGTGCCGCACTCGACTGAGTGCGCCACCAGGCCGGCCCCTCAAATAATTTTTTTAAAAATATTGTGATGATCATATAGGATTTCTTTTTTAGTCTCTTAAATACAGTGAATTATACTGATTGACTTTTGAATGAGAAAGAAATGTTTTCTTTCTGGGATAAACCCCACTTGGTCATGACACATTATCCTTTTTACATATTGTTGAGCTGAATTTGTCAAAATTTTCTTAAGAATTTCTGTGTCTATATGTGAGTCTCTATTTTTCTTATAGTATCTTTACCTGGTTTTATCAGGATAATTAATGTTATCTGAGTTGGAAAGTATTCTTTTCAATTTTTAAAAAGATTTTGTGTAGAAATGGTATCATTTCTTTTTGAAATGTTTCACGTTGGGGCCGGCCCGGTGGCGCACTGCTACAGTGCGCCGCTTGGGAGTGCGGCGGCGCTCCCGCCGAGGATTCAGATCCCACATACAGACCAGTTCTTGCTCATTGGCTGAGCGAGGTGCAGGTGCAACACTGAGGGTTGCGATCCCGTTGCCGGTCCCGGTCCGGTATGGGCGCGACACTGAGGGTTGTGATCCGTTGCCGGACACGAAAAAAGACAAAAAGGAAAAAAAAAAAAAAAAAAGAAATGTTTCATGTAATTAATGAGAGAAGCCCTATGGGTATGGAGTTTTGTTTAAAATTTTTAAACTAAACATTTAAGTTTAATAAATGCAGGGCTACTCTTCATTTCTTCTTCAAAGTTTTGCTGGTTTGCACCTTTCAAGCAACCACTTAGAATTACAAAGGTAAGTTGCTTCAGGAAGTACAAAATACAATATAAAATCTTAATCTTCTTGAAGCACTGTAGTGATACCAGACGGCAAGCATGCTACCACACACACATGCAGTAAGTCAACAAGAACTTATCCTTGCTATGAATTGATTGCTCAACCTATTCCTGTACATAGCACTGGTGACATAACTTTCTAGGGCTAGACAGGTCCCAGATTGTTACAGTGTGATTAGACAGTAATGTTTGTTCCTATTCATATCAAGTCTTGTCCTCACATTTTCTAATTTGTATCAATAATTGATTATATTTGTCATTTAGAGTACTTTTGTTTGCTTGTTTAAAAATAAAGGGTACTAAATCAACATTGAAAAACATAGAGGGAGTGACATTAGCAAGATGGTAAAGTAGGAAATCCTGGTCCTTGTTTCACAACTGCTAAAGGATTGAGCTTTTTCGAGCGTGCAGTCAGTTATTACTATCCCACTTTTCAGTTTCCAAAATTTTGTTGGACTGGCTGGTTAGCACAGTTGGTTAGAGTGCAGCCTTATAACTCCAAGGTCATGGGTTCAGATTCCTGTACAGGCCTGCCACCAAAAAAAAAAAAAAAAGAAAAAAGAAAAAAAAATTTTGTTGCTATTCTCACCTATCCCTTTTTCTTTGTCCTTGTCAGTTTATGCCTTAAAAAAATTTTTTTCTACTGTCTTTTTAGTGCTGTTTCAGTAGGGAGCAAAAATAAGTGCATGTATTCAATCAACTCTCTTTATCCTAAAGCTGTATATATGTAATATGACTCGTTTGCTATCTTTGGGATTCTCTCCCTCTTCTCTCAACTTGCCCTAGCACCTTGCATTTAACTTCTTGACTTCCTTTAATTGAGTATAATACAGAAAGCTTAAAATTTTTAAAAAATGTTTATTGTTCAATGTCCCCTGATAATCTGAATTAAAATGAGCTTAACTTTTGTAACTCATCCCATGCCTAAGACCATATTCAAATAAGTTGCATTTTGCTTCTATGAAATATCTACCATATAGCATTTCGTAGTTTACAAAGTATTTTCACTTACAGTGTTACATTTAATCCCTAAAAACCGCATTGCAAGGATGAGCCATTTTATACACAAGATGGGAAAGAAATGTTTAAAGAGTAAGTCTGCAATCCACTCTCTCTAGTGGAGGAAAGCAAGATGACCCCAAGAAAGAAAGAGAGAGTGACTTGGTCAAATCTCTTTGAAAACATACTAATGACAAACCTCCTGGAAATAAATAAATGATATCTGCTAGCTAAAGAATCTTTATTTACAGAATGCTTAAAGCCGATGTAACTGGGTTAAGACTGTTTACTGTAAACAAACCTGGAATCTATGGATTTAATGGGGCATAGCTCTCTGGAAAATGTAACTATCTGGACATAAAATGGATATGTTTCATGACCAAATTGACTTTCTTTTGTGTGACTAATATAAAAACTTACGTTAACCTTGACAAGAGTGGGTTCTGAAGTAGAAAGAAAATACCTAGGGAGCTGTATTTGCAGTCCCTGAACTCTGTTGTTCTGCTGTTGTTGAACTCTGTTGTTCGGGGACTACCAATACAGTGCCTCAAGTACTACCCAGCATAGGAGGAGAAAAGAGTCATACTGTAAGCATCATTTAGTCCGAGGCAGAGTTCCATGCCTCACAAAGACAGCAAGCCCATTTCTCTCAGAGACCCATGCACAGAGCCAAACTAAACACACAGAACAGGCAACCCCAGAATGAAGTCTGCTCCAGTCCCGGGCATATTTCACCTTTCCCCCATAGGCTGCTCTGCCTGTGCCTCACAATCAGTTGTATATATTACTTGAAATTATTAGTAAAGCTTGATACTGGCAATGTCTTTGATCTGTGTGAGTATGATTTGACAATCCAATCCTTTGTGTTATCCCATAAAGGAAGCTGAGGTTCACAGCCAAGTATGATGGGGAAAAAAACAATAAAAAAAATAAGTCAGAAACAGACTTGTCTCCTGGCTCTATCACGGACCAGCTGCTTGACTCTAGGCAAACTACTTACAATGTTAAAAAGCCTATTTCCTTACATATTCAGTAGCTCTTACATAAAATATAAAAGATGTCTTAATGATAAGTAAAATGACAAGAATAACATAATACAGCATAACATTCAGAAACATTTTTAAAGAATGGAAAAAAATAAAGTACTGCTTACTTTTTTCCTGTAATGCTTGCAATTTATTCAGTTCTTCATTCTCTTCATCAGTATCTTCACTACTTGTACTGCTGACATCCAAAACTATGTCCCTTTTGGGATCTACTCGGAGAAAATTACGGCATTCAAAAGTCAGGTGACCAGCTAAGTAAAACAAACAGAAAAATGCAAATAATAAAACTACAGAAATTTAACATATTAAAAATACATTAAGTACACCTAAAAATTTAATGTATAGATACATCATGAATTTTTTGTTTCACTGCTTCATGGTAAGCAACAAGTTATAATTTTAATTATATAATGTAAAAAGCTTTAACTTTTATTCAGTTGGTGGCAGTTTGGTTATTTCCCTCAAATTTTCCCCTGAACGCAATGCTCAGAGAGAACCTTTTCTTCATCAGAATTTCTAATTCAAAAGCACTTTTTGGGGCCACTCTTTATTGGACTTCTGAGTATTAAATTATTGTATTTTCTTTCTAAAAGTACAGTAATATTTTTAACTAACTAAACTGAGTAAAAAATATACCCTCATACTTGGGATTTTACACTGTATTCTGTTCCCATAACTTCTCCTTCTCAGCTTGACTACTGTACTCATGCAATTACACAGCTTTCTTCCACTTAAAGTTGCCATAATAATAGACAAGCATTAATGTAAATAAATATGCTTTTCTAAAGGACACTTAAAAATTTAATTCTGACATCATTCCCCTAAAGACCTCCCCTATATGAAAACTATAAAGTTACCAACAAACTGTATAATACAATGTTTTAAAAATTCGAATATTACAAACAACAGAAAAGTACAAGAAATAATACAACCAATAGCTGAATATCTATCACCACATGTTATCATTTCATCATACTCACTTTCAATCCTTTTAAGGGAAATGCTTACACATGAGTACACACACAGTTTGAAAGCTTGTATCACCTTCTGGCATTCTACCTCAATTCTATTACATTCTTTCCATCCTCAGAAATAACTATACTGAAGTAGGTGTCTATCTTTCCCAAGCAACATATTGTATTTTTTTAAAAATAAACGTAATTATATCTGCCTACCATTCTGTAACCTGTTTCTGCCACTCTATGTTTTGTGTCTTATCTATGTTAACATAAGTAGATATAATTTTCTCATTTTATCTAACAATTAATGTTCCACTGTATGGAAATCATAATTTATTTATCCTACTACTGCTAGAAACTTAGATTGCTTCTAGTGTTTTGCTATCATAAACAATGATGAAATGAGTAGCTGTACATGTCTCTTTATATGCACACATACCAGGTTTTCTCTAGGGAAGCAGCATTCAAATTTTCTTGATCATGACTGACCAACAGTAAAAAATAATAGAACTCATACATACATTCATAAATAAATATAACCTAACACACAAAAATTTAAACAAAAGTTACACAAAGCATTACTACATTCAGTGTTCAAAAAAACCAATGCTGACAGTGACCAAATAACTGAATTTTGTGAAACACAAATGATTTACCACAACTCTGCTAGGGCTTATTTCTAGTTTTCTCTTATTTTGAGGGTGAAGTTCGCTAGGAGTCCTAGGTTTATATCAGAGAACATATCCTACTAGAGTTCCAGTCTTGCTTGGGCACGGGGGCCTGGGCCTTGCTTTTATCTCCTGCATCCTGCCAGCCATGAAAGTGAAAGTTCGATAATCCAGGGTTCATCAACTACCCTCAAAGCTTACCTCTTAGATCTTGTGCTTTCTATTCATTGTTTGCCTTTGAGTATTCTTTAATTCTTCATTGTTTTCCTAGCATACTAACGTATTATTGCATATTTTATACAAGTTTCTTAGCTGTTTATAGGAGGGTCTAGTCTGCCATATTGCTGGAAAAAAGTTTCTTCCATTACGATTTCCTTCCAGAAGAATCATTCGAAGAGCCTTTCTTAGTTTCCAAACATATGGAGTTTTCAGACTTTGCTTTTATTGTTGATTTCTAAATTTATTACACTGCTATCACAGAATGGGGTATGATATCAGTTCTTTGGTATTTGATGACATTTATGATCTAGGATGTAGTAAATATAGGAAAGATTTGCTATGTATTTGTTGAAAAGGTTCTGTATCTATTTTGTTCAAATCTTTTCCATCCTTTTTTTTTGGGGGGGGGGCTAATAATTTCTGACAGAAGTACTTTAAAATTGTACTATTATTATTTTGTCTATTTCTCCTTGTAATACAGTTTTGCTGTATATATTTTGAGATTTCATTAGTATGCACATTATTATTTTATCTTTTTGGTTCACTGTTCTCGAATCTCTCCTTATCCTCAGTACTGCTTTTGCCTCAAACATCTGAAATTAAAACTGTTCTACTAGCACTCTTTTGGTTATTACTGATTGAATCATACGAAATTGCCACTTTTGTGGGTAAAACAGCTGAATATCAATAATATTCAACCTAACATCTGTTTCCTCTCTTTTCCATCCCTACGTTTTGAAAATTTCTGTGTAGTTTTTAGTTTTCTGTGTGTATTCTAGTTTTGTATGTAGTTTCATTAATAACATGCAGCTAGACTTAGTTTCTTTATCTAATTTGATATCAGACCTTTTTTTAAAACTTTTATTATACTGAAACATAATTGATTGTACATATCTGTGGAGTACAGCATTGAATATCATTACCTGTGTGCAATATATGATGCTGAAATCAGGATAGTTAGTGTATTTAACATTGTACAATGTAATTTTTTGTGGCCCTTTACCAATTTCTTGCTAACCCCTCCTTTCCCCTCTGCCTTTCTCACCTCTGGTGGCCTCAGTTCAGACCAAATTTTTATGTCATTTTCTCAGCACAGGAAAAATAGTTCCTGCCTCACTGGACGCAGTACAAATTCATTCTTCATGCTTAAACGTACTTACAAGGTGTAAGCTTGAGTTCTCAATTCCTGATTATTACTTCTCTTCTAATTATTATTTGATAGGAACTCAAACACACTGTATGTGTTTGTACACTTTTCCTACACAGTGAGTGGAATTTTTCTAATCACTGCTTCACAGCCTTTTTGAGGATTCTGGCTTTATGCGAGGGGCTCCACTCTAGCCATGCTGTCATCTCTCGGGCTTCATTCCACAGCTCTGAAAGGTCTGCCCAGTAGGCCTGCAGACCAAGTTTTCGGTTATCATTCTCTGCTCTGGCTTTGAGCTCTTTTTCATTTCCAGCACCTGGAGACTTCCTTTTCATTCTTTTGAGCTGGGTTTTTTGTTGTTTTCACTCTATTTTCTTCCAGTATCTTTATGTGTTTGAAGCAGAAGGGAGGACTTTAGAAAGTTAAGCTTGCCATTTTGATCGGAACTCCTTATGATACAATTTTTACTTTATTCAAGCTAGCTTTGCACCCAAACACCTCACACTGAAATAAATATTTCAAATAAATAAAATGCCTAAATAATAATTACACTTGGTAGCAGGCTCTGTCTCATACCCATTTTATCTTTACTTCAATGAAAGTGACTGTAAAATAAGACAGATTACTTGTGAGGCTATAAAACTTTTTTTTTTCTTCTATAGGGGAATAAGTGAATGAAGCATAGGAAATAATTATGCACAAAATTACAGTTCTTGTGGCTTCTTTCCTAAACAAACTCTAAGCAGACAATGAGCAGAGAATTCTTAGAAACTTAAAGTTTTTCTTTTTTTTTTTTTTGTGACCAGTAAGGGGATCGCAACCCTTGGCTTGGTGTCGGCCGCACCGCACTCAGCCAGTGAGCGCACCAGCCATCCCTATATAGGATCCGAACCCGCGGCGGGAGTGCCGCTGCACTCCCAGCGCCACACTCTCCCGAGTGAGCCATGGGGTCGGCCCAGAAACTTAAAGTTTTGACCATGAATATGTAGAGACATTTGAAGTAATAACATTTCAGTAGCTAATTACAAAAAGTGATGTGTTTTTTTTCAGAAATGGAAAAGCCAACCCTCAAATTCATATGGAAATGTAAGAAGCCCCGAATAGTCAAACAATCTAGGAAAAAAGAAAAAGAAGAGAGATAGAAGACTCATACTTCCTAATTTCAAAACTTACCACAAAGCTATAGTAATCAAAACGGTTGGTACTGGCATAAGAATAGACATATAGACCAATGGAATAGAATCCAAAAGTCTAGAAATAAACCCATAGATACATGACCAGTTGAGTTCTGATAAGGGTTTAAGTCCATTCAGTGGGGAAAGAACAGTATCTTCAACAGATGGTACAGGGACAAGTGAATTTCCACGTGCAAAAGAATGAAGTGGGACCACTCACTTCATACCATACATAAAACAACTCAAAGTGGATCAAATACCATAAAATATAAGAGCTAAAATGATAAAATCTTAGAAGAAAGCAGATTTCTAGGGAGACAGTATCACCCCTAGTTGAGAATTAACAACAGAATTCTGCACTTAGATTTCTTTAAAAGTATCTTAACTTCTTGCCCCACCCCTAGTTGAAAATTAATGACAGAAGAATTCTGCACTTAGATTTCTTTAAAAGTATCTTAACTTCTTGCCCACCTTTGAAGAAACAAACTATAAAACAGAAAATGCATTTCAGATGTGTTTTGCACACAAAAGACTGTATAACACCAATAAGCGTACCCATAGGCAAAGAAAAGGTAATGACTCTACATTGAAGTTAAATAAAATGTTAAAAGTATTTAGGTATCTGTTTTTATTCCCTGCTGCGATCAAATGCCCCCACACACCAAATCTACTGTACTGAGCTTCTTTTAATTATATTTTCTGAGAACTATCTTAATTATTTGAGACATTTATTCCTTGCACAAAGGCTTAATGTCCTTGGAGGTTTTAAGTATTCAGAAGTTGCCAACTTCAAAAAAAATTCTAATAAAATCTCATTATAGAAATAACGCTTTTTCTATAAATTTCTTTTAAATTAATTTTGCTGAGGAGATTCTGCCACAAAAGAGAAGTCCATGTTATTTATCAACACATTCACCCTTAACTTGAAATTTTTAAAAACAATATATCCACTATTGAAACGTAGTGACAAATATTTTTTAATCAAGTATTAAAATTATTAAAATTGTACAATCTAAACCACTATTTTTTACATCAGAGACAATACTCCTGTAAATAACTGAAGAATACCCATATTTTTAAGCACTGAAAACATTTCAAATGGTCTTGTTGATCTTTCTCTACCTCTACACAAGCAATACAAAGATTCTGGCCCCCCAAATAAAAGGTAAGCTAATTTTTTAAATGTAGTTTCTACCAAAAGGATGTGTAAACTGAGAAGACCTTCATCTCAAACTGCTATAGAGATGTAAATTTAACACATAAGGGAAATGTTACCAAATTTTTCTACAGGAGACAAATTATAAACTGTTTGATGATTTAAACACTAAAATTAAAGACTTGAATAATAAAGCAGAAAGAATTAAACTTGGAAGGATTGTCAAAACTATTTGCTGACTTGTCTTCTCTAAAAAATTCTGATTATTTACAGATGTTTCCACTGTCATCTAAAACAATAGCAATGAGGAGACTAAATCAACAAATATTATTTTTCTGGAAAATGAGTTTAATTTTTTTCCAGAAGTCTTAGGTTAAAAGAAGTCCAAGTAGATAAACTGATATTAGTAGGCAGATTGGGAAATCCATTCCAGATTTTGAAAACACAGTATTTCTTTTTTTTTTTGTACTTTATTTGAAAACACAGTATTTCTATATATAATAGATTCTTAATTCTTTAATAAAGAAATGAGCAATGGTTGAAAGAAAGCAGAAGTAAATACAAACAAATTTAAAGACAGAAAAGATTTCATTGCACTCATTTCTTTCATGCCAAGTACATTCTTCAGTTTTCATTTATCTGAGGGATATGTATACTTATGCACTGAATTTTGCTACACGAGCAGGCTTTCCTTGAACAAAGTTTTAGTCTTTGCTTGGAAGTGTGTGACTTGTTCTCTCGCATACTTTTATCATGTCCTGATGGAGATTTATGCCTTAAGTGCTCTCTTATCACGTGTTCTTGCATGGAGATCTTTTTGTTAAATCATCTTTATTTTGTTAAAAAACTCTTCAATGAGCTGGAGTGTTATTAACAATCCAGGCTAATTTGCATGGTCTCCAAACAATTTAGAAAACAGTAAATGCTGCTATTGTAGCTGTTAGTAAAGCTTTAGGAATTGTTACGTTTAACTAGAGAAATGATATTTATTTACAGTATAAAATAGTAATTTTATAGTATATAATTATACATGTTCAAGTTTACCTTTCTATTCCATTATATTAATCATAATGGAGATTAATAATTGTTTATATCAAGTTGTTGCCCATAAGCAGAAAAATTTGAGACCTTTTTATATCCTTACAACAAGGGATAAGTAAATTCAATAAACATGAAAAAATTTTCAGTTTGCATTGCCTTCACCTCTTCACTTAGTATCTAGAAGGAAAAGGAATAAAAGAATAAGTATGTATGTACTTAAAAAAATATATTTTCTCCAACTTCTAAAACTACCATTAACCACTTGTACTTCATGACATCTTTGCTAGACACCAGATACACAGCTACTTGTCACTGGGTCTACAGCAGGGAAGGAAAGTGAACATTTAGTGCCAACAAGAATTTCTGAATCAAATGCAAATCTTAGCTTAGGACAAAAAGATTATGCACAGGGCCCCTGAAATCAGGATGCTAAGTAATATTACCCAAAGAGGCAATGATTCCAGTTAAGAGCAATGCACAAAACATTATCTTTTAGTGTACTTACGGTAACCACATTTTTTACAGCCTGCTCTAACACTGTCCTTGTTGCAACCTGAAATACAATTAGAAAATATTTTAGGAAATATATAAATAAGTAAAAACATAAAAACTTTATCACACAAAAAAAGCTAAAAAAAAACAAACCCCAAAACCCAAAGTCCATCCCTGACACTACTCAATTATTATGACTCTTAGAAACTAACAGAAAGGCCAATTTACTCAGATTAGTTGACAAATACTTCAAGAACTTATTTTTTTCTAATTCGAAAGAAATGTAACATTACAATGAAGAGCTTAAACATTCTAGGAATTCTACGACACTGAGGAAGAAATTTCAGGGTACTTTGGACTTCCCTCAAATGTAAAATAATTAATTTACTAGATATATATATATACGAATATTTATGTTAAATGTTTTTATGCTTTCCACTGGGAGAAAAAAATTTCCAGTCTTCTTAAAGGAATTAATGAAATTTCAGAAATTTACTTTAATTGTTAGGCATTATAAGGAACATCTAAATTCAACACTCGAATTTTGACAAGAGGAAACAAAACACTCATACACCTGGTTCTGATAAATGTTTACAAATATTCACAGTATCCCAGTTTAATTAGTATTACATGAAGATAATGCTGAAGATGAAATAAATGAAAACGTTTTTTCATTGTGATAAAATATTTGTAACAAATTTACCATCTTAACCATTTTTAAGTGTACAATTCAGTGGCATTAAATACATTCACAATTTTGTACAAACATAACCACTACCCATTTCCAAAACTTTTTCATCATCCTGAACAGTAACTGTACCCATTAAATAGCAAGTTCCCTCTTCCCTTCAGGCCCTGGTAATTTCTATCCTACTTTCTCTCTCTGTGAATTTGCCTATTCTAAGTACCTCATATATGGGTGAATCATACAATATTTATCCTTTTGGGTCTGGCTTATTACACTTTGTGGAATGTTTTGTAGGTTCATCTATATTGTAGCATGTATCAGAATTTTATTCCTTTTTATGGCTGAATAATATTCCATTGTGTGCACAGATAGTTAAAACTAATTTTAACTTGGTGACTTAAATCAACCAACGAGAGGCTCAGAACAGTATTATTTCATTTCCTTGATGAAGGGCATCTAACTCCTAAACCCTTAAAATGGAGACATCACCCCAACTTAATAACATATTAAAATACATACAATGCAAATATAAGATAGTGCTAAAACTTTTTAAACCGTTTCTTTGACGTTATAAAGTTAAAATATTAGTTATTTTTCCCCTAATCCTAATTTGCTTTAAAGTACATGTTATTGAGTTGTTATAGGAAAAATACAATCAGTTCTGCTATAATGCTTGTTTTAAAAATGCAAATATTGTTCTAATGCAACTGACACATTAGCGAACAATTTGAGCACAATGTGACTTTTCATCCATGGAAAACATGGAGTGAATGCAGAAAATTGCATCCAGCTGATCCGATCCTTGCAGGAATATACAGAACACAAAGGCATACACCTCAAAACATTTCCAGTGACTTCAGTTCACTGCATGTGTTGTGTGTGAGCAGCACTCATCCACATCTGGGATTATAACTTCCCATCAATTTCATATCACCACCCTCCTACCACTACTTAATAACAACTCAAAAGCTGTAACTCTTCTAAAGCCTACTTACACAGCAAACTCCAGGTTTTTTCCAAGGTAAAGTGCCATATTTATTGTAGTATTTAGGTACTTTTTAACCCATTAACATGTGTAAAATTGTGCCACTGTTTTTATTAGGTTCCTATCTTTTTGTATGTGTCACAAATGAAGTTTTTTTTTTTTTTTTTTTTTTTTCGAACCGGTCTGTATGTGGGATCCGAACCCTCGGCGGGAGCGCCGCCGCGCTCACAAGCAGCGCACTGTAGCAGTGCGCCACCGGCCCGGCCCACAAATGAAGTTTTTGATTGTTGTGCCCTAATCCTGTTTTTTCCCATAAGCCCTGCAGTTTTTACTGCATGGTATATGCATAGGCCACATTCTAGCAGAACTGACTGGGAAATAAAATTGGATTAATAATATAATCTGAGGCCCTTCCATTATGAAAATAACTACATGTTGAAAAAAACCTCAGAATCCAGGTCAATGTTGGGTCTGTTTCCATAGAAACAGAAACACAGATGCTGATAATACTGAACAAAACTGTGCTAAATGCACCATTACTGTTCCTACAACAGACAAAAAATATTGTAATGGACAGATCCAAAATAATATAATTTCAGCAGGTATTAGAATTGAACTCATTTACAACAAAAGGCACTGATGAAACTCATCATTCAAGCATCTCATTTTTAGAATGAACAAAATATGAAACTTTCTGGTCAGGTCACTTTCTTTAACAAAGTTGAAACTTACATGAAAGGGAAATATAACAAGAACTGAAAATAAATTAACTCTGTATCAGCTATTTCTTCGCCAGCCTTTAGTTAAATTACGATCTCAGCTTCATTTTCATGACTGCTTGACCAACTAAATGCTTCTACGTGAGAATCTGAATCTGAGGCAACTGACACCATAGATCTGAGACAAGTGATGCAATGAAGTGGGAATAGTTAATTCATTCTGCTGTCAGGATCCAGTTTCTAGAAGCAATGATGCCACCAGCAGCAGCAGCCCTAACCAGATCTGGGCCTGTGCAGGATTTTGGATGTGAGTTCCTCTGGACTTTCCTATTTTCTGACCTTATTATGCAGACTTTGCTCAGATTCAGTGAGCTCTCTGATATTTTTCCTTTTCTGCTTACATTAACCAGTAAGTTGTTGTTGTTTGGAACAAGAACCCTGGCTGATACAATGGTGGCCGATACATGATACCTGAAATCCAACTGAGAGGAAGGCTATATTGTGAGGCCCTTACTCAGCTAAGTTATCCATTTCCCATCTTAAGCTCCCATGCGTTCTCTGTTCCACTCCTTTTTGAAGTTTGCTAAGGCTGTTCAAAATAATAAAGCCGCTCCCCTCAAAGTTTTCATATGTAACAATGACCTGTATTCCAAAAGCCATTAAATAAAAACTTGTAAATCTGACTACATAAAAAATCTGAATGGCAAAAACCACCAAAGCCAAACTCAAAAGACATGAAGCTGGGGAAAAAAATATTTGTACCTCACAGTACTAACAAAGGACCATTATTCCCATTGTATAAAACTCAGCAAATCATTTTTAAAAACACCAATAACCAATAGGGGAAAAAATGCACGAGGGATCTGAACAGAAAATTTATACAATACAGCACTGTTTGTAATAGTAAAAGAATAGAAATAATTTAAATATCAATAGGGGACTGGCTGAATAAGGTATAAAAATGAGGATGGTCGTTATTTAATGATATGTGATCTCTAACATATTTTGTAAAGAGGGAAAAAAAAGCCAGGTGCAGAGCAGTGCTTATTGTATGTTGCCATTTGTATAAAAGAATGGAGATATATATATATATATCTGTAAGGCTATACATTGGTTACTTGAGAAAAGAAAACTAAGTCTGGGGGAGAAAGAGGTGAGAAACATATCACTATACACTTTTTGGTACCTTTAAAATATGAAAAGTGATTGAATTACCTTTTCAAAGATAAAACCAGAAAACCTCCCTCAAACAAATTTTTGTGCCAACCACATTAGTCACATATATTGCCACTTGTGCCAGGTCAACTCTTCATGGAGAATGGTGAATCACCGCCACAAATGTCAAAGCTAATTTCAACAACTGTGAACGGGAAAAGCAGTTTTTCAAAGAAAGTAAATTTCACTGAAACCTCTGTTTGTCATTTCTCTAATAACAACTAAGATTTTTCCAAAAATCTACAACATTTCATTGTGTTATCTACATAACAGTGTAGGTAACACACAAGGCTATGGAAAAACAGCTGAAGCACATGACCAAAAAACAAAGAAGGCAGACTTCCATGTGTGGCTTGTGGAAAACAGCTTTGTCACTTTATATAATCATACCTTGTAATAATCACTAGCAGGACCCCCCAAAATCCCAAGCTGAATCCATTATACCTAAAATAAAAGAACACAACATAATACCTGTCTTCCTTGATAATCACCTCAAAAGGTTTTGATGGAGCCCTATTTTCCTTTAATACACTGTCTGGATCGATCATTCAAGAAATTATCTTAACATTCTCTGTATCTATATTTTCTAATGACACTTGTATTGTACTTTTACAGTGCTGTCATGCCTATTACCTCAATTTTTACGGAATTTAAACAGTTCATCTATGTCTCGCCATCTAGCTTAATGACACAATTTGAGATTATTATACTTTGAAGCATTATTGTGAATTGAAAGAAACTGGCCTAAGTTTAAGGGAATTTCAATAAGGGTTTTTTAAAAAAAATCACTTTTGTCCTCTTTCTTAAGCAGCACATTGTCATTATCAGACTTAAGATTTATGAGGGCACAGATTATAACCTTGTGTGCCCCAGAGTGCCCATACCACATAGATGCTCAAAAAGCTTCCTTGGGTAATGAAATACACAGTGACAACAGGTCAACCTTGGATGCAACTGTGTGATGCAAAGATCACCAGGGCTGATTTGGACTATCAGGATGCCTAGGCAATCTACTGTGCAAGCTTATCTTTCGCTGGTGGTCCCTTAGATGTTGGTATTCCCTAGGCTTCACTCAGTCACAGAACTTCCCTTCACACTTTATACACTCCACCTGAGCAAAGTCATCTACTCCATGGCCTTAACTCCTATTATGTGTGTGGATGATATCCAAATTGTTGTCTCTGACTTCTTTCCTAAAATACAAATTATATCACTTACTATTAGATATTTCCATTCCTATGTCTGACTAATCTCAGCACAAGTCCATACTGAAATCATCATCATCTCCCTAACCCCTGCTCCTTGTGAGGTGTTGCCTACATCAGTAAATAGCCCCACCCAACTGCTTAACAGTAAAACCCAGGTAAACCTCATTTCCTTTTTTACCCACCCACATGGAATCAATCACCAATTCCTAGTGAGTCTACCACCAAAAGTATATCTCCAACCTGCTTCTCTCCTTTCCTACTGAGACCATACTTTACTCAGGCCTCATCGAACCCCACGAGACTGAGACCATACTTTACTCAGGCCTCATCGAACCCCACGAGAATTACTCCCAACTGGTGACTTTGCCTCTAAACTAGCTCCCTGCTTATTAAATATTAGCTACTGTTATTATCTCTCTAGTTAATTTCTCACTTCTCTCCCACTTGTGTTCTGAATTCCATTCATAACAAACATCTTTCATTTCTTCTCATATTTTCCTCTTCCTTTACATATCCAGTCCCTCTGACTGCAGTCGCCCCTCCCCCCACTTCACCCTTCCCACAATTTAGGTCTCATCCTCTGGAAAGTCCTTCTGGCCCCTCCCTACCCTGTTAGGTTCTCTTACTATGTGCTCCCCAGGCTTTGTATTTTCCTTGCCATACCACCTGTCCCACTTTCTGTAAATGTCTCTCTCTTCACTGCTAAATTCTAAATTCTGTGTGAAGAACAACCGTGTCTATCTTGCTCACCACTGTATTCCCAATGCCTAGTACCAGGTGCCTGGAACACAGTAGGCACCTAATAGAGTGTATGTTTCTTCTCTTACAGATCCGGATGTGCTCCTCTCCAAACTGCAGTTGTTAGAAAAGCATAGTCTTCCCATAGAATAAAGGACAGAATAGGCTACCACGATACAAAGAACCTGGTCAAACAATACTGGTAAGGGTAGGCTTAAACAAATTAGGGCTTCTGAACCTTAGTACTTTTCAGAATCTTTTCTATCCTAAAGTGCATTGTGAACCTCCAAGTTGAAGAGAGGGAAAGGTGCATATTTGTCAAAATATCTCCTGTAATCAGTGTTCTGCAGAACAAATCGTGGCAAAGCCGATTGAGGGAGATGCCCTCCACTACTAGAACTTCCAAATAAGCTGGTAGTAGTGGACGAGGAAATCTCTAAAGCGCTTATTCCGCAGGGTTTACCATTTTTAGGTCAGTAACCTCTTGACACAGAATTTGAGCGCTAGAAGGAACCTTAAATATAATTTAACAAAGCTCTTTCGTTTACAACTATGGGAACTGAGGCCTACAACAACACAGCAGCTACATAAAACAAGAGCTAGAAAGCACGCTTCCTTAGCCCGCCTCGTCCCAACGACTTCCAATGACTCTGGTTACCTGGGCCCGCCAAGTGTTCCCACCTCAAATCTCATTTTTAAGCCCATCAAAATCAGAGTCAGTTTTCTCGGCCGCCCACCGTCTTAGGCCTACAGCTATTGCCCCTCACCCCTCCCTTCCTTCCACAATACACTTTCCTTGTAACCCGTGCCGTTGGGGCCTGGCTGGGGGGAGGGGAATATGGTTTCTTTCCTTCAGAGTTTATTTTTGGAATGTAAACTTTTTCAAGTAAATCCATCAACCAAGCTCTTTCGTTTACAGCTACGGGAACTGAGGCCCCAAAGGACAAGTCGACGGGCCTACAACGACACAGCAGCTACATCAAACAAAAGCGAGAAAGCACACGCCCGTTTCGTCCCAACGACTTCCATTCCAGTACAGGGCCTCTGGCTACCTGGGTCCGCCAAGTGTTCCCACCTCAAATCTCATTTTTAAGCCCATCAAAATCAGAGTCAGTTTTCTCGGCCGCCCACCGTCTTAGGCCTACAGCTATTGCCCCTCACCCCTCCCTTCCTTCCACAATACACTTTCCTTGTAACCCGTGCCGTTGGGGCCTGGCTGGGGGAAGGGGACGATGGTTTCTTTCCTTCAGAGTTTATTTTTGGAATGTAAACTTTTTCAAGTAAACCCATCAACTCCATTATTTTTAAGGCCTCCACCTACATCTGCATGGGCACTACTCCCTGCCTCACTGCACCCTAACCAACCCTGCCCTATCCGCTCCTTTCCTCGCTCAGACGCAGGTAGGGTCCCTGCTGTTGGTCTTCACCTGCGACTGCCATGACGCTGGTAAGAGGAGTCGCTGGAGCCTTCAGCTTTCGAGAACGCGTTGGCTTCCCGCCGGCTGCAGAAACAACGCACGGCCAAAGCGGCCACTTCCTCCTACTCGGGCCGCGGCACCTTGGCGACAGACTGGGAAGGCCCTGCCAGCTCCTAGCGATAGCGGAACCAAGTAGCCGCGGGTGCAGTTTCCGGGCGAGTCATATTGAGACTACACACGGTCCGAACCATTATTGCCAGCTTTGGGGCGTAAGTGTGACCTGCACACGCGTGTAGTGAAGTAACCACCACCAAGATATACAGATTGTTACTTTTTAATGTTGTAATACGAATTACATTAAGTTACAGGAACTTTAGAATCTTTTCTAATTCACCGGAGAACATTGAAATTCCCCTTCTCAGGGTTAGCGGTGCTCGGGTCCGGGAACAACATGGCGGCGTCCGTGAGAAGCTAGCTTTGGGAAAAGCTGTTTGGATAACGTCTTAACCGATAATTGACCTACTGAAGCTTTTCCCGACTATCCGACTTAAGGAAGCGTGTCCTGATCGGAAGACAGCTTTACTGACTGGTCGTTCGTTCTATTCTTAATAAGGAACAGAGTCCTGAGCACTGACCAGGATGAGCAACATCTACATTCAGGAGCCTCTCACGAACGGGAAGGTGAGAACCTCGCCTAGGATACCTGGGCATCTAGTGAGATGCCTCGATTAGGAGGGGTTTAGGGATCTTAGGGTTGGAAGAGACCACAGAAAGTGTTGTCCTTATCCCTGCCTATGGATAGTGTTGCATCGGAAACACCGAAATTGGCACGTCTCATCATATACTTGAAAAGGTCCAGAAGTGGAGATTTCTATCTACCAGCCATCTGGCCCGATATCCTGCCTTAACCCAAATGATGTAGGCGTTTTCTAGTATCCTAGGTTCTCTTAAGTACTTTTCTGAGTTTCACATACTCTTTGCTTAACTTGGAGATCGCAGTGGGCACTGTACTAGTAGTCTCGAGTTGGAGGAGTGAGGTCTAGTTGTTGCCGCGGAATAGCTTGTAGATTGGGATGAGAGACAGGTAAGTAAAGAAAAATCTTATGATATGTCTGGTAGGCGCGTTGTGGAGAGGGGAACGTATTGCTATGGCAGTACTTAAGAGTGAGCAATTGGGAAAATGGGGAAAAAAGCCTCAGGTAGAAGATATCTCTTGAGCTGGTCTTGAAACATGAGATGATTGTCAGTCAGAGAAAATGGGGAATAGGGAATGTTACCACATTAGAATGGGAGAATGATTCTTTGATTGCTTGATGGCCAATGTATGTTAACTCCTGTCCAAGGTGTTCATATACAGTATGAGGCAAGAGTCAGTAGTGAGTGTCACCTGAATTCTTGAACTGAGCCTAGTCTGTATCACATATGAACTGTGATGAACCTGCATAATAGAGAAAATAGTGGAAGTGAAAGTATATAGTGAATTAAGATCAACTAAATTTACCTAAAATAGAATTCTGTTGCATGATTCTATCATAAATATACAATCTTTTATTTATCTATATTTGGTGCTGTAATGAGGGCAATTTGAAAGCAAAAACAAAAATGCTGTGATTTTCAGCAAAAGTTTTAGTGGGTATTTTGGTCAGTACAGTACAGTTCTTTCCATTCTTTGTTTGAACTTCTCCTGGCATTGTAAGTTAGCATTTCCTCCCTATACTCCACTCTCACTTCACATCATTGTGAAAACCCAAAATGCCTATCCACTCATATTCCAAATGTTTCTTGAGGGTGCTATCACCCCCAGTTGATAAACACTGGTAGAGATTGAATAGATTGCCCATAATGCCAGACAGGGCCTTCACACCTGCTATTCCTCTCTCTAGCATGCTGTTTTACCTGTTCAAATGTCAACCTTAGAATAGAGGCCTTTCTTATCTGCTTTCTATGAAATAGCAAACCTTAATCATGCCTTGCATCCCAGTATCCCCTGGCTCCCTTATCCTCTTTAGTTTTTTCTGTAATATTATTTATTTGTTTATTGTATCTTCCCTTCACCCTTTCCCACATAGAATGCCAACACCATGAGGGCAGAAACAAGCATCTGAAATAACGCTTGACAAATGGTAGAAGGAGTTCAGATATGTACTGGATAAGTGAATGGATGGATTATTAAGACTTCATTTATCTTAGCTTCTGAGAAGTATTAAGCATCAGTGAGTTCAAGGTTATACTGCTTCTGGTCAAGGGCAGACTTAGTTTCTTTACTCTAGGGGAAGATTTGACATGGTCATATAGATGAAAAGCTTTAACAAGGATACATTCCTGAATAAGAGATCATTGATTCAACCAATATTTATTGAGCACCTAGCCCATGTCAGGTTCTATGCTAGGTTTTAGGAATATGAAAGTACTTTAAAAAGTTTGTGGAAAAGTAGAATCAAACAATAATACGAATCTATAGTGGAAAGAAAAACCATCATCATCCATGTTATTGTGGAGTCAGTTGAGTGACATATACGTTAAGAAATAATCATGCAAATAAATGTGTAATTACAAATTTTGATGAATACTCTCTTTCTTCTGCACAGAAAGGGGCTGAAGGAGAACACAAGGCAGGGCCCAGGGACTTTTCCCAGCATAAGGCTGTTTGAAGACATTGCAGCTTCAAAGTTCTGTACCATAGAGAGCATGGCAAGAATTTTAGCCTGGCAAGAATTTATGGCAGATATAATAACAAGTCTGCTCAATGAACGTTTGTTTAGTGCCTTTACTGTCTAATGGCTCATTAGGAACTGAAAGGATACAGAGATATTCAGAATAAATGGGACAAAATTCCTCCCTTCAAAGAGTAAAGTATCAACTTGGGAAGTAATTGACATATGATACCAGTTGTTAACTCTAGCTGCTGTCTATAAATTTGCTATGTTTTGCTGTGTTATGCTATCATCCTAGCCCCTAAAGATGAGGCACAGAAATGTAGCACTTGTTAGAAACTTTCTTAAGCATAAAAGGTAACTCACTGAAAATGAGATTTCCACATATTATCATCACTTAATCTAAATTGTTTATTAATATATCATTATTAAGAAACATGATATTATTGAAGTGTTGTCTTATTTGTGAGCTTTAAGAAAAAGAGCCACCAAGGCCTGACAAAGTAGTGATAGCCAAAGGAAATGGTTGGCTAAAGGAGGAAGGAGTCATGTACCTACCATCCTTATTAATTCAGTAGATTACCAGTGAAAAGACTAAGAAACCCTGGTGAGCAAGGTGGCCCAACCATATATGCATGCTTTTTACAACAATTGTATACGAACAATAATTAGAATAGTAATGGCTATCATTTTTTGAGCACAGTATTTGTCAGGAACTGTTCTAGGCAGTCTATGTATAATAGTTCATTTTGTCCTCACAACAAACGTATGAAGGTGTATTATTATCCCTATTTTTAGATAAGGAAATTGAGTCCCAGAGATATTAGGTATCATGCCCAAACATGATAACAAAGCTAGCAAATGGAAGAGTCAGTATTTGAATTTGGGCAACCTGACTGCAGAGGGATGATATACATTAGTTTGGAGGGAGGGATGATGTAGATTAGTTTGTTCTTCAGAGAAGTGCTTTCTAAACCAGTGAGTGCATACTTCAGGGGGTGTGCACAATCATCCATGGGGTGCAGGGAGAAAATCAAAATGTTTTCGTTTGTTTTCTCCTTTATTTGTTTAAATGCAATATTTTATATATATACCAAGACCCTTATTATATATAAAAAACATATTAAAAAGATAAGATACTCATTCAGTCACTTTTTTTGCATCACTTTTTCTTTGCGTCATGATGTAATTTTTCTTTCTTTTTTTTTTTTTGAGCCAGTCAAATTTAGCAGTGGGGAGTTGTATACCAACTTTAATGACACTAGTGTTAAAAGTTCTGATAACTCACTGCCATCAGACAAGTCAATGATGTAATTTTTCTTTCTTTTTTTTTTTTTGAGCCAGTCAAATTTAGCAGGGGGGAGTTGTATACCAACTTTAATGACACTAGTGTTAAAAGTTCTGATAACTCACTGCCATCAGACAAGTCAATGATGTAATTTTTCTTTCTTTTTTTTTTTTTGAGCCAGTCAAATTTAGCAGGGGGGAGTTGTATACCAACTTTAATGACACTAGTGTTAAAAGTTCTGATAACTCACTGCCATCAGACAAGTCAATGATGTAATTTTTCTTAATGACTAGCTAAATGGATTTATAGACTATGGTATATAGATAAACTAAACCAGGCCTCACAAATTTTACATTGAAGATAATATTAATAATGTAAACATAAGCAAATCATAAGAAAATGGAAGCATTGTAGTCTCAGCATGGGAAATCTGACAGAAAATTAAAAATTGTTTTGAAGATAATATGAAGTATGGATTTCTGTTTATTATTATTAATGGTAAACTTTGCCTTAAATATATATTGCATCTTGAAATTTTTATCAGTGAGAGTATAAAGCCATTGAGATTTTCAAGACATTTAGAAACTAAGTATATAGAACAAGAGGACAGACCTCTATAATTTGAAAGCAGCATTATGCTAAGTGAAGAACCGAGGCACGAAAGGCCACGTATTATATGATTCCATTTATGTCCAAAAGGCAAATCCATACAGACAGAAAGTAGATTAGTGGTTGCAAAGGAGTAGTGATAGCGGAAAAATGGGGAGTGGCTGCTAATGGATACAGAGTTTTTTTGGGGGGGTGATAAAATGTTCTGGAATTAGATAGTGGTTGTAGTTGCACAACTCTGTGAATATACTAAAACCACCGAATTGTAAACTTTTAAAGGGTGAAATGTTTGATACATGGACTATATCTCAGTCAAGCTGTTATAAAAATGTTCATTGTAGCATTAAAACTAAAATAAGAATATTTTAAGATACTATTTTTATGTAATCCTTTAAAATTCTTATTTTGTGTGACTCTTTTATAATATACTGTATTAGCCCATTTTGTGTTGCTACAACAGAATACCTGAGACTGGGTAATTTATACAGAACAGAGGTTTATTTGGCTTATGATTCTGGGACAGCTGTGTCTGATGCAGGCCTAAGGCTGCTTCTACTCATGGCAGAAAATAGCAGGCAGCTGGCAGGTAAAAGCAGATCACATGGTGAGAGGAAGCAAGAGAGAGAGAGAGAGAGAAGGTGCCAGGGTCTTTTAAACAACCAGGTCTCATGGGAACTAATAGAGTGAGATCTCACTCTGGCCCCGCCTCCCCCAGGGAGAACATTAATCCATTCATGAGGGATCCGCCCACATGACCCACACTGCCACATTGGAGATCAGATTTCCATGAGTTCTGGGAGGACAATACATTCAAACTCTATCATATACATACTAGAGCAAGATAGTACTATGTTTATTGAAATATACATATTTTGAGTGTGTGTGCTCCAAGCCCTTACTTCTCTTCTACTCCCCACCCTTTTTTAAAATTTTTTGCTAATAGGGATGCACACTTAGAAAAAGTTCAGAGACCATTGCCTTAGGGTTGCAAAAAAAAAAAAAAAAAAAAAGGTATGTCTAGATTCCCTTTAACAACAGTGCTTTAGTTCAAGTATACAAGGGGATAACAGATAGGACAGGACATTGTCTAAGTATACTATACTTTAAGAATGGGATGTACATCAGGCCTCATGGAACATCAGAAGATGTTGCATAGTGTTCCAGATGCATTCTGAGGTGGGGGAAGTTATCCAGCCTCTCATTTTGTATCCCAAGTGTATACTTCCCAGTTGGAGAGTGAGAATCAAGTTGTGTTGGATTGTCACCATCCAATATGGAGTGTCTCTTTTTGGATTGTCACCATCCAGTATGGAGTATTCTTTGGGCAGTGTTTCTTGCCAAGCCAAGTCAGAAGGCCTTGCTTTTGTTCAGCCAATATATGATTGCTTTTGATTTAGACTTTCTTCTCTATTCAAATCAATTGTAACCAGAGCAACCTGGGGATTTCTTTTGAGACATATGGCAGGGCCCTAGAGCTTGATGGACTATTTTGCCAGTATTGTATAAAATATACAAAGAACTTTGTGGAGGCAGTATGATGATATAGAAAAAGCATAGGCTTTGTAGCCAGCCAGACAGCCTTTGGTTTAAGTCATTCACTATGAGACCTTGGATAAAGTTACTTTATCTGAGTTTCTGTTTCTTCAAAAGTGAAATGGGAGTAATGACACCTAACTTGTAGGTGAGGATTAAATGGTATAAGATATGTAGTGTCTGGCACAGAAGCTGACACATTGAAGACATTCAATAAATGTTCCCTTCTTTTTGTAGAGGAAGTGTAATGAATTGAGGAAATCAAGCACATTTGTATTTCTAATCCTTTTATATTTCTTTAAGAGTTGAGGAAAACATTTTTAAATCTACCACAACATGTATTTTCACCTCTCCCACCCCCATTATTATTGAAGAGTAGTTATAGGAGAATTATGTAGCCAGTAAAAGCCCAAAGAGATACAATTAATTCATCAATGTTATATAAATTTATGGCAATATTATCTGGGCTTATGAAACAAATTGAAAGGCAGCTGTAGCGAAAATGCATTTTGTGGGAGGGAGGAGATAAATGCTATTCCTCCTGCTTTGCTATTAACAAGCTTTCTGACTCAGGGTCAATTTACAACTTCTCTGGGGCATCCATATGATGCCCAGGGGCTTAAATGAATGGTTTTAAAGATTCCTCCAATTCCAAAAAAGTAAACTTGTGAAAATTAAGTAAAGGAGTTTTAGAAAATAAAAAGTGTGGCACAAAACGATGCTGACTTCCCATGAGAATCACCTCATGTTTTGGAATAGTTAACTGCATACTTGTTATTTGCAAGAGCATTCTAAATGATTGTCACAAATTACTGACACTGATGTACTTTGGTACACTGAAGGAAAAAAGAGAAAAAGTGATACTGGAAAAATTGGACCCCTGCTGTGCCACAATACTCAAATTTAGAGCCTAATATTCTTCTAGTTATTTGAGGTTATTAATAAGACAGTTAGAAGCTGTTTCCTCCTGTGTCAGTAAGGGTTCTGGTTGTTACAAGATAGCTGGTTCCACCAGTGACTAACTGCTGTCATGAGCTGGTGGAATGAAGGCTATCAAAGGACATATCACTTTAGTAAGTTACAACCCATAATTAGATTATGAGTGTTCCTTTGCATGATTTAAAATGAGAAGGTAGAGCAAAAGGGTATTGTAAAAATCTTATAGTGTCACAATTTAATGGGTTTATTGTTATTTAATTTCTTAATTTGCTACACCAATTTTATTGAAAATGATGCAATGGGAAACTTTTAATTATAATAAGTTTGCATTATCAGTTTTTAAATGAAAGAGGTTTTTTCTGTGATTAAATAGGTATGTGCTATTTTTTCTTAAATCTTAAACTTTTTCTGAAAATGATGTGTTTAAAGACCTAAATGTACAATGAGTTGTAGTGAATATTTGACATTTTGTTAAGTATAACAACAAAAGCCAAGCAAAGTTTCTAATATTTCTTTTAAAATTGAAAACTCACTAGAGAATTCTACAAGTTGAGCTCCCATTCAACTGATTATCAAGCAAAATGATAATTTAACATAATGATGATTCTCTCTAATGATTCTTTCTATAGGTTTTATTGAAAACTACAGCTGGAGATATTGACATAGAGTTGTGGTCAAAAGAAGCTCCTAAAGCTTGCAGAAATTTCATTCAGCTTTGTTTGGAAGGTAATTATAACTCTTGAGTTTTATTCTGTAGGAGAAATTTTTGTTAACTTAAAAATAAACTGCAGTGATTTTTTCACAACATTGATGACTGGTGTTAAATAGTGGTAATTAGTGATAGGCATTGATATGAGTGACATGATGTTGAACTATGTGTCAGGAAATAGAGAAAGGAAATAAAAGCTTTCTCCAAAATAAATCTGTGTACTTTTAATGGAGAAATTATGTCAACAAATAATGCTTTGATCCTTTCTGGTCTCCTTTGCTATCTTCTACTTCTTTCATTCTCTAAATATAGGTATTCCCTAAGATTGTCCCTAGTTCTCTGTTGTCTTCACTCCTCAGTTACTACTTGCATCCAAACGACCTGTCAACTTAGAACTCCAGACATTTCTTCACTTCTCAGCACTGATTTACATATGTAATTGCCTAGTGGACTTTTCTACTGGAACCTTCCCCCGCAAGCTACAACTAAGCCAGTATAAAACCTAATTTACCAGTTTCTTCCCTAGACTTTCATCTACGCAAGTAGTTTTCCTCTCTTTTCATCTTTTATATCTTTTCCTTCTTATTCATTTGGTATTTGATCCAGAGGCAGCTTGGCTTCCTAGCTTTCCAACTTTTTTTTTATTGCACGAACTGTGTAGTTTCAGTTGACCATTATCATTATTTCTTGAATATTCTTCCCACTTCCACTTTTATTTACACTTATCCTCATACTGATTATCCTTTTTGGAGTATGCTTTCTTTTCCCTTTTCTACTGTTCAAGTCTACCCATTTTTAAATGTCTGTTCATAATTCCACTTTCTTTACAAAATCTTCCATCTAGTATTCAGTGATGTTATTATCAATGTCTCTAGCTTTAGATTTGAATCATAAAATGACTATTTTCCTTTTTTAAAAATCTTTGCAGAATTATACATCCACTTCAGTGTTTTTCCCTGCAGTATTCTCTTAGGGAAGTAAACATTCCTAACATTTTTAGAGCTTCTTGTTGGCTTCTAGACTACTATTGCATATGGTTTTGAATATCTCCAGTGGTGGCAAATTATTGTCCTTCTAAATAATATCTGATTTTCAGATACGTTATTCAGGGTATCAGAGACAGGCATTTTGGGTCAGAAGCAAGGTGTTTATAGTATAGTGAGAGCTCTCAAAATAGATAATTAGACAAGTAGATTTAAGGAATAAAAAATACTTAGACCAAAAAAAAAAAAAAACTGCTAAAAAAGAAAAAGAAAAAAGACATCTGCAAAGACCATTATTAATAATTGCTATGGCAGGCAGGCAGGAAGTAGTCAGACCGGTCGTGTGGTCAGAGAGGCTTCAAATAACTGTCAACAAAGCTGAGAAACATAGGAGACACTGAAAAGTCAGACTTGTTTCTGGTAAGAAGTTTTGAAGAATCAAAAGCTCAAATTTTACAGGAGGAGAGTGAAATTACAAAAACATTAGAAAGAATGAATGGTAAATTGCAATCCGTGACCAGGTGAAAGGAAGAAACAAAAAACTTCTGGATACAATATGACAGTGAAGAAGAAATGAGGTTCTTAAATTGGGTGATGATGCAACTCGATTACAACAACAAATAATTATTCCCCTATTTACAAGAATACAAGGAGAAAGAAAAAGGAATCAAGAAATAATAAGAAAAATAACCAGAGCAATTCCCTTAATTGAACAACTGAGATATAGAATTATTATTGGAAAGGCTAACAAGAAGCCTGAGAAGACCAGTTGATATAAAGATACTCCTAAATGAGTAAAGTCAAGGTTTTAAAAATATAGTTCAAAGAACCCCATTTTTAGTAGTTTTTACCTAAAGTATTATACTTCTAGATCTTGTAACACTTATGTCAATATTAAATTTAAAAAAAGCATGGTTTCTAGAATGTAAAAAAGCCAATGAATAAAACATGAGGAAGTGGGAGCATAGCCTCAGATACTGCTTCAACTAAAATGGTGTTCACAATTAAAGGGAGGTTCAAGGCCTTTATAAAACCAAAAGATTTACAAGTGTAAGACTTAATCATGCATCTTATGTCTTTGCACTACAGTTAGGCAAACATTTAAAATGAGTGGATTTAAAGAAATTGTCAGTTTTAAAAGTAGGGTAAAAAATATGTAAGGGAAGGAAAGAAAAGCTTGTTAGCTTTGATAATTTAATTAGTTCTTCTGAAGTGTTATCAAGGAATAAAATTTTAGGTCTGTGAAACAAATTGGCTAGCACAAAGAGAAGTAGGTAAAAAAAATAAAATGTTTTTACTTTATTTTACTTCAGCCTTGTCTCTTTATGATCCATGCTTCATCAGTTATCTTTTTTCCCCTACGTCTTTTATTTAGTTTAATAATCTTTAGAAGTGACAAACATAAGTATATATTAATATGCTGTAAGTTAAAAAAAATTTCTTCACAAAACTGTTTAAAAAAATACCAGAGAGGCTGAAGTAAATAGGCAGACTGATCACAAAATGAGTTATAGATGAAATATTATAAATGATAATATATACAAAATTAAACACAAAGCAAGATTCTGGAAGAAGAAACACATGTAACTGATTTAAAAATGCAAATAGAAGTTCCTGTATGTACTTCCATTGGAAGTATAATTAGCCAAAATATATCATAATGTCCATACATTGTACAACAGAAATAAAAACTGTAATGACAAATACAAGAATCACAGCAATCAAATAGGAACTTTGTTTCATATTTGAGATACATTTAAGTTTCTTTTCTCAATAATGGAAAACATTTAGGAGGACGTTATGAAATGCATAATGAAATAATAAGGCTTCTTTCTTCCGAGTACTTATAAGGATAATGGATAGAAATTTAAGTAGAAAATCAAATAAATGTTATTGCAAGCAGCAAAATTTGTTATAGTGCATCGTAAGTTATAAAGACAACTATAAATGCATACTTCAACAGTGATTATTAATAAATTATAAGGAAGTAGAAATAGTGGATATGGAAAATTTGTGGAAATTGGAAATTCCAGGCATAACAGAATACAATATTATGGTGTAGAGATTATAGAAAATTCCTACTCATTTATATATAGTATTTTAACAATTTTATGCATCCAACATGAGTATAATTAGGAAAATCATAAAGAAAACCTTAAAATAAAAATCCAACATCACTGAAGGACTTAATGGGAAATAGGAAAAGGAGATTGAATGGTGTAATTTTAAAATTTCTGAAAACAAGTAAGGAAGACCTTTCATGTCCCCCTTCCCTCACATGTAATATGTATATCTAGGTCTTACATACATAGATCTTGCTTCCTAAAGAGTTATTGAATCTGTGCATCTCAGGGTAAACCATAGTCATGTTTCGTTTTGACTCTTGGGACAATAGTTGAACTTGTGCTGTGCTCTCTCCTTCTCTGTCTCTCTCTCTCTCTCATTTGCTCTTGCTCCTTCCCCCCTCCCTCCAATCCTGTCTCCTACCAATCTATTCTTCATACTGGGAGTTTGAATGATCTTTTGGAAAAGCAGTTCTGATTATGTGCTTAAAAAATGTTGATTGACTGTATATTATGGATCTAAAGGAATTTTTTCATTTTATGATATACAGTATATACCAGGGTATGTTTTGTATTCAAATTCAAGTATGAATTTGTAGAATTTGAGTGAAAATATTAAAGTTTGACCTCACATTTTTTTGAACTTGAAAATTTATAGGTCGCTTTCACATTATATTATTTAATCTTCAGAACAACACTGTAAGTTAATTTATATTATTAGTTTTATACTGAGAAAATTGAGTTTAATGTTGTACAGCTAATAAGAGTCAAGACTTAGAACTCCTGACTGCTACATACAGTGTTAGTCTAACTGAGAAAATGGTTACTTAGGGATATTGGAGAGACACTTTTAGACTTCTGATTTTTACAGTTTCTATCTGTAACCAGAGGGAACTTGTCCACACTGGGGAGCTCTTGTGAATATAATCCAACAGTTCTTCACTGAAAGAAGGAACTGAAAAAAAATCAGTTGGCCTTTATTTCTGCTTTTTCCAATGTACTGAATTCAGTTCTTAGATTACAGATTACATCTTTTTCAATATGGATTTTATATCCAGTTATACTTGCAAATGTAAATAATTATGAGGGTGCCTGCAGACCACTATAACAGGTACTTTGTGAATTATGTCAATAATTTTATCAGTACAATTCCTGGCCACTGTAGGTACTTGATAAATATTTTTCATTGGATGAATTAGTTTGTATTCAGTTGCAAGTAACGGAAGACTAAATTCAAAATTATTTAAATAATAAAGACACTTATCACCCTGACTGACAAGAAATGTGGTGTTCTGCAGCTCAGCGAAGTCCTCAAAGAACTATATTTTTTCCATCTTTCTGCTTTGCAGCTCTCACCATATGATTGAATTATGACCACACTCAATAACTGGCTCCACCTCAACCTACTCTTGCTGCTTGTTATTTGTTTGTTTTTACAACAACAATAATAATAGATTTGGTTTATTCAGTACTTCCTTTAGGTAGACAGTAAATCCCCCCACTCCTTATCTGCAGGGGATACATTCCAAGTCCCCCAGTGGATGCTGAAACTGTATGTAGTGGTTTTTTCCCCAACATACATACCTATGATGAAGTTTAATTTATAAATTAGGCACAGTGAGAGATTAACAACAATAACTAATAATAAAATAGAACAATTGTAACAATATACCAACATCACTACACTTATGCTTTGGGGCCATTATTAAGTAAAATAAGGTTTACTTGAACACAAGCACTGCCATACTGTGACAGTCAACCTGATAACCCAGATGGCTACTAAGTGACTAATGGGTGGTAGTGTCTATAGCATGGATCCTCTGGACAAAGGGATGATTCACATTCTGGGCAGGATGGAGTGTGACTGAGCATGATTTCATCATGCTAATGAGAATGGCATGCAATTTAAAACATGAATTGTTTATTTCTGGAATTTTTCATTTAATATTTTCATTCTGCAGTTGACAGCAGTGACTGAAACCATGGAAAGCAAAACTGATAAAAGGAGGGACAGAATACAAACCCACTGATAAAAGGAGGGACAGTATACAAACCCACAACATATCAATATTACTTATTGATTATAGGTATAGCACTATCAATATACTCTCTTCAAGAAACTTTTTTTTTTTAATTTATTTTTTAAATTTTATTTTGTCGATATACATTGTGGTTGATTATTGTTGCCCCTTACCAAAACCTCCCTCCCTCCTCCCTCTCCTCCCTCCCACCCAACAATGTCCTTTCTGTTTGCTTGTCGTATCAATTTCAAATAATTGTAGTTGTTATATCTTCTTCCCCCCGCCCCCCCAGTAAGAAACTTTCAATAAATAAAACAATCAACGTAATATATTCTGCATACATTTTCTTCTTGTACTTAACTGACTAATGTAAGTACAAAGCTACCGTCAGTGAGATAAAATAATTACTTTTCTTTCACTTAAAGGATTTAAAAAAAAAAAACTGAGGTGAAATTTATATAACTTAAAGCTAATCATTTTAAAGTGTACAAATCAGTGGCATTTAGTGCATTGACTATGTTGCTTAACCAGCACCTCCAGGTAGTTACAAACATTCTATCACCCCAAAAGAAAACTCTGTACCCATTAAGTAGTTGCTTCCCAGTTCCCTACCCCCCAGGTCCTCAGCAACCACCGTTTTCCATTTCTATAGATTTACCTATTCTTGATATTTCATACAAATGGAATCATATAATATGTGACCTTTTGTGTCTGATTTCTTTCAGTCAGCATGTTTTTGAGGTTCATCTATGTTGTAGCATGTATCAGTACTTCATTCCTTTGTATGGCTGAGTAAATATTCCATTGCATGTGTGTTTGTGTGTGTGTATATATATACACACACACACATATATATACCACATTTTACTTATCCACTCATCCATTAATGGACATTTGAGTTGTTTTCACCTGTGAATAGTGCTTCTGTGAACATTTGTGCACAAATAACTTGTTTGAGTTACGGTTTTCAATTATTTTGGAGATATATATATACATGTTTTTTAGAAGTGGAATTGCTGGATTATATGGTAATTCTTTGTGTAACTTTTTACACCATTTTACATTCCCACCAGCAATGTATGAGAGTCCCAATTTTTTAATATCCTCACTAACACTTGTTATTTTAATGTTTCTTGTTGATAGCCATCCCAGAGGGTGTGAAGTAACATCTCATTGTGGTTTTGATTTGCATTTCCCTAATGACTGATGAGGTTGAGCATCTTTTCTTATGCATATTGGTTATTGTTACCACTTCTTAATGTAAACTCTCTTACTCAGTCAAGCCCTAATTCTTGTCCCCCACCAAGTTCTTTGTTTATGCTTCCCCTCACTGAGATGCCATACGCTGTCATACCCAAGTTAACTTCTTTCTCCCCTATGAAGTCTCCCTAGTAATTCTAGGTTCCAGATAATAAATACTATAGGAGATTACAAATGATTTCTCCTGCATGTTTATGACCTCCAAGTTATATATTTATATATAAATATGTTTCCATTGTTTAGCAAACTGAGAGGCTAATTAGACTCAAGTATATATTATTTAATTTATTTATTGAAAGTTTCTTGAGAAGAGTACATTGATGGTGCCAGACCTATAATCAATAAGTAATTTTGATATATTGTGGGTTTATATATTGTTGGTGTATTAATAAATTAATTTTGTATGTGGAGAAGAGGAAGAAGTAGGAAATAAGGTATTCATCTCTACCAGGGTTTCTCAGCCTTGGCACTGTGGACATTTTGGGCTCATTTCCTTTGGGCTCATCATCGTAGGATGTTTAGCAGTATCCCTACCCTCTACCCAGTAGATGCCAGTAGTATCCCCCAGTTGTGATAACCAAAAATATTTCCAGACATTGTCAAATGTCCACTAGAACATAAAAATGCTGCTCCTCCTCCCGCAAGTTGAGAACCACTGATCTATACCAAAACTCTCTACTTTTTATTTTGAGAACAATAATTGAGAGTTTGAGAGAATCTTGGAAATAAAAACAAAGCAACAACAACCATGTTTTTGTAGAAATGTGTGCTGTTTTGAAAAGTATATATTTTATAAGTAGGGAAGAAAAGGTTTTGGTTTGGGAGCCTATTTAACAGTCTAGAAAATAAATCTTGTGACTCTAGTTGTATTAGCTCTGATAAGTATAGGTATACTTAGTTTTAGACATTGATAAATTATTTTGCATTTTTTTCAGGTTATTATGACAACACCATTTTTCATAGAGTTGTACCTGGTTTTATAGTCCAAGGGGGAGATCCTACTGGCACAGGGGCTGGTGGAGAGTCTATCTATGGAGCCCCATTCAAAGTAAGACTGAATTATAATTAATTATTATTATTATTATTATTATTCTTTCCAAGTCAGCTCAGATTTCTTAATTGAAAATTATTGTGTTCCACAAGAAGAAAAACATTTCATATTAGTATACAAAATCAGATGTGTGTCACATATTTAGGATTATATAGGAATAAGAGCAATACTTACCCTGTCAAGCGTTCTAAGTTGACTTATCTCAAGCTTTTATGTTAGATTGAATTCAGGTGGAGTTAAAGGTAGTAATGAAAAAAATGTGATTCAGAAAGAAGCCTATAAAGCATATTTCCTGATGCCTAACTGTGTCTAATCTCTGCATCTCTGTAAATGTAAAATATTTTTAGAACATTTGCATATCCTGTCCTATTTTAATACATTTTATTTAAATACTATAATGGAATCTGTAGTCTGCTCACGGTGCTATAACAAAACCCACAGACTGGGTGGCTTAAACACAGAAATTTATTTTTCACAGTTCTGGAGGCTAGGAAGTCCAAGATCGAGTTTTCTGCCATTTTGATTCCTGGTGAGATCTACCTTCCTGGCTTGCAGATGACTGCCTTTTCCAATATCCTCACCTGGGGGAGAGAGAGAGAGTTTAGGTATCTCTTTCTCTTTTTATAAGGACACCAGTTCGATTGGATTAAGGCCCCACCCTTATGACTTCATTCAACCTTATAACCTTTATTACCTCTTTATAGCCCAAATACAGTCACATTGGATGTTAGGACTTCAATATATGAATTTAAAGAGGACATAGTTCAGTCCATTGCAGAATTTACTCTAAATTGTACACAGTAGGTTTCTGCAGCACAAAATGCATGCCACAATGGAAAATAACAAGGAGAACAGAAGAAAAAAGCAACATTAAAAATGTTAGAAAAAGATATATTAATCAAGAATAGGTCAGTGATTTCTTAACTGCTAACATAGATCTAAGAAGAACCAGAGTTAATGTTACAGTTCAGATAATAAGAAAACCAGTGAGTGCAAAAAAATCTAGAAGTTGTCACTTATTAATCTCATAGGACTAATGTCATGTTCTTTGAATGAGTAAACATCAATAGCTCTTAAAATATGGGAGTTTTTAAAAATTTCATATTAATACTAATGGGATAGAGTGTTTAGAGTTTTCCTTCATCTTTTACTAGGTCACTGTGTGATTCTTGAGAAAAATACTTGAACAGTTTGCTTTAATTTCTAGATGATAATGGCCTTAGAAAATGTGAAATGACTATAAAAAACTCTCAGATGTCACTGTTAGACTATTTAGTATTTTACCAATGTGACGTGTCTCAAGATTTTAGAGCCTCCATCTAATAGGAGCCATTCCTTTATTCTATTATCTAATGTAACAGAATAGCCCTTTTGACAATTCCTTCCTAACTTGAGATTTTATACCTCACTATTTTCAAGTAATACAGTTATCTTGTTAAGTTTTTCAATTAGGTTATTTTTAATACAGTATACAGAGTTATGATCCGTTGACTTCAGATCTCTGAGAATAATTTATTAAAGAAAGATAACTTCCTTTGTGAAAAGCATTAATTATATAATGTGACTGCATTATAAATGAGTCCCGTATCAAGTCTGGGTGGAAATTCTATTAACTAAGAGATTAATGTACGAGGATAGTACAAAAAGTTTGTGGAAAAATAGAATTGAAAGATAATATGAATCTTTCCATGAACTTTTTGAAGTACCCCCATAAATGTTAAGTACCCCATCATAGCATGAAAACCGCCTTATAAAGCCTTTCTCCTCCTCTTTTAAAAACTGGCAAATGGGATCAGTGCCAGTTCAGAGAAGATTCATCCTAGGACTTCCAAGAACACTATAAAATCACATAACACAATCATAGTTTATTCCTCGAATTAAAAAACAAGAAGAAAGCAATTGTTTCATGACATTTAGAATGGGATGAGGAGGAGCAATAGTTGAAGACTCTGAAATGGTCCTAAGGTGGTTTTCTTGGAGAAATAGAAGATTTTAAAAGCTTAGATGACTTTGAGGGATGAGAATAGGGAAATGATTTTTACAAATTCATTCCATTTTGAGTACCCTTCTTGGATGTGTAAGTAGGCAGCTTTCCACAAAATTAATTGTGTTTGTGGCTAAGTATATTTAGAAAATACAGGATAGTGAATTCAAGTTTAATAGCACTTCAAGAATAGTAAATATTGGATTTGATTATACTTTGAAAATCAGTTAAATAGAACTTCAGTGTTTTTTATTAGAAGTCGTGTGGGACCTTGCTGGTAAGCTGAATAAGTGACTGAATATAAAGGATTTTCTAACTGAAGATATTCACTAAATCTTTTTTATGTTTCAGGATGAATTTCATTCACGGTTGCGTTTTAATCGGAGAGGACTGGTCGCCATGGCAAATGCTGGTCCTCATGATAATGGCAGTCAGTTTTTCTTTACACTGGGTCGCGCAGATGAACTTAACAATAAACATACCATCTTTGGAAAGGTTAGTGTCCAGTTATCTTAAACCTATGGTTTGGTGGGTTGTTTTTTTTTTTATGTTATTCCTTTTTTTTTTTTTTTTTTTTAAATAATCCCTATATAATGGTGACCTGTAAGGGGACCTTAACACCTTACTTGGTGGTGTTAGCACCATGCTCTCCCAGGTGAGCAAACTGGCCATCGCTATATAGGGATCCGAATCCATGGCCTTGGTGTTATCTGCACAACACCCTCCCAAGTGAGCCACCGGCCGGCCCAGTTTTTATGTTATTCCTTAGGCTCCTATGATACTTATGATCAACTTACCTAAGAGCTGCCTTCATAAAAATATTCCCTAGAATATTTATTTATCATTTTCAAAAGTGATGGAATATATTGGTGTTATAATGAACTGTGAGGGACCACCTGAATTCATTTTTGTGTGTTTTAAATCAGTCATGTAGTTTTGATTTTAATGTTTTCTTTCTTTGAAACCATACTAATGGTATTAGCTACTATACCACTCAGTCAATAATGTTTTTATATTTTTAGAAAGACATCTAGGTGACAATATTTAGTAGTTTAAAATTTTTTTTATTAATGATGAATTCTCTTAAGTTAAAAATGTAAGTTGTATTGACACTAAAACCTTTTACTGGAAATATTATTTTGAATAGTACCTATTTAATCTTGCTAACATTTAATGTCATATTAGGGAATGTCCTTTCGGTAGAATTTTCAACAATTCACTTTAAAAGGGGATTCTAAAAGTTTTCTTCTCTCACTCTTCACCCTTCTCATAAATCTATCCCTGTATATTTTAGGTCTTAGGCATATTAGACATCTCTAGTGTATCAGCTCCCTCTGCTGGTTTAGTAAGAATTGTTGCCCCATATCCTAGGCAAAACTGGATTTTGTGATGATGAAATGGAAAAAGCAAATTTAGTACAATTGGAAACCTGGTGCTGTTTTAAAACTCCTGAGAATTGTTGAATAAAAGGAGTTATACTAAAATCATTAAATGTAATATATTGCCTAACACTTAACAATATGAGGTTTTGGGAAATATAGTCTTTTGAGCTACTGAAGCACAGGTTGTATGATATTTATACATTTTTTCCCCCTATAATTTTTTTAAAATAGGAGTGTAAAATAAAATGAGATTTCAGTTGTCATTATGCATTGATTTTTACAATTGATATTATATAACTTACACATTAGAGACAATGGATAGTATGGTAGTTAGAAGTTAGGAGGGCCATCGCTGTTGGCTCTATAACTTCTTTTAGCCTCGATTTTCTTATCTGTAGAAAGAGCGTAGTGAGAGCTCCTACTTCTAGAATATTTGTGAGGATTAAATGAGTTAATGTCTTCAAAGCACTTACCACGTGGCTATTGTTATTGTTTTGTTTATGATGTTTCAGTGAAAAGTTGTAATTCAGTAGGAGGTTATTTGGCATTATATTTTTATTTTTAATAAAAACTGATATTAAGTATATATTGGGAATTGATATTAAGTATATATTAGGAATTTCCCAAAATGCTTATTGAGGTATTGAACTCTATCTGCACTTTTTTCCCTTATGGTGAAGTTGCTTTATTTGCATTATTTAATGGATGTGCTTTTATGTAATAATATGAAATTTCCTTTTAATTATTTAAAAGGTATTTTCAAAAGTCTCCCCTTAATTTAAAGGATGAATGCAATAATTTGCAATTACATTTTATATTTTTATTTGATAGGTTACAGGGGATACGGTATATAACATGCTACGACTGACAGAAGTAGACATTGGTGATGAAGAAAGACCACATAATCCACACAAAATAAAAAGTTGTGAGGTAGGAGCATGATTATTAGGAGATACAGCACTTAAGTTGTCATTTAAGTCAAATCAATTATTTGTATTTTTAAAAAGTTTGATAAAGGCTTTATACCTAATTAACATCATAATTCAGATTTATTCTTTAATTTTATTTAGGCACAATTTCTGATTAAGAACTTTTTTTAACTAAAAATTTTGAATTCAAAGATGAATTAAAAGCTTGACTCATAAGTTAGAGGAATTAGGTTTATTTGGCCCAAAGAAGTAACTTCATAAGTCCTTATGAGCATTTGATTTGGAGTCAAAAAACCTGAGTTTGTCTCTCTTCCTATGTGTTATTTAAGTTTTCTTAAATATTTTTCTTTTTTTTTTAATAAAGGGGTAAAATATTCCTTACTTAATAGTGCATAGGATTATTGGGAGAAGCCACTGAGGTCGTGTAAGTGGAAGCACTTTGTGTAGTATATATATATCACTATTCTAATAATGTTTATGTGGGGAAAAATGTAGACACTTGTTAATGCAATTAAGTATTACTTTTAATTTTTTGTGAAATTTAAAATATGCAATAATTTTTTCAAAATGTTTCTTTTTATAGGTTTTGTTTAATCCTTTTGATGACATCATTCCAAGGGAAATTAAAAAGCCAAAAAAAGAGAAACCAGAGGAGGAAGTAAAGAAATTGAAACCAAAAGGCACAAAGTAATCATAGTAGAAAGATTTTTCTTCAGCTTGAAAAGTGACACTAATTTATTTAGTTTACTTTATTTCTTTTTGTAATTGCTTACTAGCAAGGGAAAGGTCAATTTGAACCAGGGAGATATTAGAAGTCTAAGTGTATGTTTTTATTTTTAAATGATCATTTTTATATTCACATGTAGTATGTAACTTAAGCCAAAAAAGTATTGTCTCAGACTTCTCAGAAGTCTGTTAATAAATAGATAAATATTTTATGATCATTATATCAATTATTTACATAAACAAGTTGTTGTGAAACTATTGTTTTTTGCTTGTTTTTAAATTAGTACTCATTTATACTCACTTAGTATAAAGAATTTGGAAGTAGAGAAAAGTATAAAGAATATTTTAGTGACTGTGTGATTGCATAAATTTATTAAACCTTTTCCCTCCTCTTTTTGGTACTTTAGAAATAATCTTATAAATATTTTTAAACATAAAGCTGCTTTATTCAGTATTCTAGAATATTTCCTGAAGATAGTTTTCCAAAAGACAGATATTTATTTTTAAAATAAATTTCATTATTTTGTGACAATGCTCTTTACATTATTAATATTTTCTGTTTTGTGAAAATAGCACAGAATTAGATTTCAATGTTTTTACTGAATTGTAGCATCCTTATTAGGGATTTTATTGTACTTATAAGTTTTAGATTCAGGTAATTCTAGGTATACCCTGCCAAGCCCAGTTAATAAGAAGCAAAATTTGCTAGTCTTTCTGAGCTTCAGTTGTTTCATCTTACAAAATGGAGATTATGATAAGTACAACACCTGGTTTTGTGAAGATTAAAAAGAAGGGGTTTGTGAAAATACCCAATAGTGTAGGTGTTCAATACATATTAGTTTCTTTCCTTGATATCCTATAAAATCAGTAAGTTGCTTTCATAAACTGTCAGACATGAGCCAGACACTTTAATAAGCACTTGATGCCTTGTGGCAAAATAACTTTTTCTACAACTGTGTATTTGATTTTTATTTTATTCTTTGATTCATTTGTTTTTACTGGTTTTTTGTTTTTGTTTTGTTTGGGGGTTTTTTGGGGGGTTTTATTTTTGTTTTTTTTTTTTGTGTGGCTGGCCAGTACAGGAGGTTGGTATTATCAGCACCATGCTCTAACCAACTGAGTTAACTAGCCAGTCCCTATTTTGACTAATTTATCTCTAGATGACTGTCACTTTATTCATACACAGTTTTTTATCACTGTGATTTATCTTGATAACAAAAGATGTTTTTTGTGTTTTGTTTTCATTTATAGCAAATGTGTTAGTGACGATGTAGTCATTGCTTGCATCTAGATTTTGGGGAAAAAAAATCCTCTTTTGTTGCAAAATCTTTAATTTTTCCAATATTTGAGAGAGAATTTTGATAACGTTATTTGTTCTACTTGGGATTTCTTTAGCTTGAAGGATCAAAGGAAAAAGTTTTTTTCTATATGAGCTATTTTAGTTAAGCTTATTGCTTATATTTTTTTGGTCTGACAATTTTGTGCACCTTATTAATTTTAAAATATTGAGATATATTTTGCCAAATACTAGATTAATTGCTTCCCATTTACAGTGCTATCAGGGCTATATGTTTATTAGTTTTTCCAAAATCTTCATTTTGCTACCAGTTTTGATAAATGTTAAAAATCTTAATTTCCTTCATGCTTGACTCAGTATATTTAACGGTAATGCTCAGGATGGATTTTTGGTCATTGGTTTAGTATAATATATGAAACACTGGCGGTCTGAGGCCAAACCCTTAGTATTATGCTGAAAATACAGGCCCTTAGTATACTTCTGACGAATAATAAGTAATACTGTTTTTTAAAAACAGTCAGAATGTATTTCTTCTTATTAATTTTTCTGTTGCTTCGAAAGTAGGATATTTATAAGTTTGTTTAATTTTTTCTTCTAATTTTTCTTTTTTCTTCCTTTTTTTCCCTAGAAATTTTAGTTTACTTTCATTTGGAGAGGAAGCTGAGGAAGAAGAAGAGGAAGTAAATCGAGTGAGTCAGGTAATCCCTAATTTGCCTTTTGTTCTGAATTAGAAAAGAGATTAAGGTCTATATGTTACTCCTTTTTATATCTCATGCTGTACCCAGCCCAGCATGTTTTTATATGTACACTCAGTAAGTGTTCATTGACTTGATTTGTAAAATGATTTGTGGTCAATAATATATGCAGCTTCTTAGGTGATTGCTGTCCAAAAATTGTGGTATTTAAATATTTATTTTTAATCTTGGCTTTTTTAAAAATCAGAACTAGATGAGGTTATTTGAATGGTTCAACTTTATGATTCAGATTTTAATTACTATTTGTTTAATTGGTTTACTAGATGATAATGATAATTATTATCATTATAATAATAAATAGTCACAGACCAAAACTCATATTCTTTTTAATGTTAATTACATATATTTTATTCATTTTATTAGTTCTTATCACAGCCCTTTGAGATAGGTGTTATTATCCTCATTTTACTCATAAATAAATTCAGGTATAGATAGGTTTTAATTTTCTCAAAGTCTGATAATCAGTAAGTAGCTATAGCTGGAAATGTATAACCCAAAGATATATAAAAGCTATGTCTTTGGATTATGCATTGCCGCCTGGCCTTTGACTACACCAGTCCTTCCCATGGGCTTTTAAGTGTGGTTTTCCTCAGTAATCACTTTCATCTGAGTACTCATTGCTGAAACACCTACAGTTTCTTCCCATTAGTTAGAGCAGTGATTCTAGTATGTATACCTCAAGAAAATCATCTTCAAGGGTTTTTACTTCCAAAAGTTCTGATATGCCATCATTCTTAAAAATTAGCAAACACCGAGACCTAAAGGATTAGGTTCAAAGTCTTTATTGTAGTAATTGAAACTCTGCATTGCTTTACTTGCTTAACATAGTCACCTATTTCTTACCAACACTAACAATAACATTGACTTAAAAGCACATTATCGTTACCGTTGTCTTTACTTCTTTATCCATGTGCTTTCCTCATCGGTGAGCATGGTTTTGATAGGCTAATATTGGACACATAGTAAGCACTCTACTTACACCTCTTACATTAAAACTAAATTAAAATGAGCGTGTATAAGAAATATTTTGTTAACAATTTTCTCTACTCTTTACAATCCTTGAGTGATCTATTTGATACTGTGGATTCAATTATCATCTACCTGTACACCAACATTCTAAACTCTAGGAGATAAGGCCAAATATTTCTTCTGGACTCTTGTCCCTTATTCTAAATTGCTATAGCAAATGTCTCTACTTTAGATGTCAAAACTAAATTTATTTTTACACAGAAACCTTTCCCTGATCCTTATTAACATTACCAGTCACTCTGGCATCTCAATATCTCAGGAGTCATCTTCTTTAGATGTCAATGCATTAGTCTTGCATTGTTTATGATTCAAATTTGTACCTCTTCAGAATGAAAGATTTCTGTATGCTTCATCAGAATGAAAGATTTACTATATGTCATGATTCTGGTGGTGTATTTGTGAATGAACAAAGCCACAAATGTCGGATCTGGGAATTGCCAGATTCTGTTTCACTAATGTTTTCTGAAGGTGCCATGCCTTCCCCATAGTCCTCCTACCCAGTTTTTCCTTTTGCCTGGAGTGTGCTCTCTCCTTTCTTTGGCTACCTTTTGTTTTTCCTTTAAGATTTAGCTCCACTACCACTACCACTTCCCTCTCCCACTGAACTCCCTCCCAGGCTGAGCTAGGTATTTTGTTCCATGATAATCTGTCTATGGCCATCAAAGCACTTATCATACTGCATTATAATGATTTATTTTCTCATCTGCTAACTGTGTTAAATATTTATTTTATCATATTTATTCCATAACCATGTGATATAGATGTTATTATTCCTATTTTGAAGATAAATCAATACTTGGGTTAAATCGCTTGAGCAAGATCATATAATTTGGAGGTGATGGAATCAGAATTTTGAACTTTGGTTTTTACAGCTGTTTAAGTCTCTAATATGATTGTGAATGCTACAGAAGCTTTCTCTCTCAAGTCCAAGCCATCTAAAAAGCTGGTGAGAAGTTTCTCTGGTAGCTGGCATTCTGGGGGCACGGGGGTGGTGGGCAGCAGCTATGCTCAGTGCAATTGGCCCACTGCCCTTTCTTAAGTCCCATAGGGTTGTGTAGAGTAGGAAGAGCAGCCTTGGAGAGCAAGGGTAGGAGAAAGGAGGTTTTTGGTCAGTATTTTTGTTGAAATTAAATACTGGTCTAAAATAAATTTTGTTCACAATTACTTTGAGATTGACTTTACTGGGAAATTAGTTTGAATTTTTTCTATTTGTAACAGCAGAATGTGTTAAACATTCAAAGCTTATCTTCCTTCTTCTGTTTTATATTATACAAAGTAGAAAAAATAACGTTTGAATTCTTATCTTCCTTCTTCTGTTTTATATTATACAAAGTAGAAAAAATAACGTTTGAATTATACTGAATATTGTGAATTTATACTCCAATAGCAATTCGTATTTGCCATAAAATTAAAACGTGAAAGGATACCACCACAGATAATGCTGGTTTGCTCTTTATTTTTTCTTTTAAACCTGAGAAACACTTCAGTTTAGAAAGACTAAGTAAAATCCTCTCTGCCGAGAAAATTACAACCCATAGTCCATTATCAAGTGAATATTATTATCCTAGTATTATGTCACCATATTTCTTTCATCTGACTCTTTAATAGGGGTGCTGTGTGATAAAATTACCATGAAATACTTATATCTGACTCTCACATCTATACCTCTAGGTTGGCTTACTCTTCTTTTCTCCAGCTGCCTACTGGACACCTCTCTATTTGAATATCTCACTAGTTACCCAAGCACTGGTCAAGTCTTAACTCATTATCTTTTTTTCTCCAAACTTCTCTCTGTTTTGTGACTTTTCTTTCTATTCCCTGGTCTCAGTTCCTGACTTTTTTCTTATTTTATCAGTACCACCAGTTAGTTGCACTGTCCTAGCAATTTTTCATCCAAAATGTATCTCGAATCTGTTGTTTCCTTTTCATTTATTTTGCTACTACCCTTGTTCAGGTCTTCATTATCCTTAGCCTGGGCTTTGTGGTAGTCTATGGACTGGTCTCCCATCCCTTCTCTTTTTGGCCTTCCACTCATAACTACCAGAGTAGCCTTCCTGAAGCTTAAGGTGTTACTGTGTTACTGTTACTCTCTGTTGTCTATAGAAAGAAGGCCAAATTGCTTGGTCTATTAATTCAAGCCTTTGCTTTCATGACTCCCCTTCACCAACTCTGCCTGTTAGCGTAGTACTTCTTAAACTTCCCTGCTGATAAAAATAATTTGTGGTACTTTTTAAAAATTAAGATTCCTAGGCCCCATTTCAGACACATTGAGTCAGAATTTCCAAGGGAGGGGACTGGGAAGCTGTACTTTTAATGAATTCCCCTGGGATTTATACCAGGGAAATGTAGGAAACACTGCTTTAGCAAATCTTAGTGATTTGCTGTTCTATATGTATGCCTTGTCTTTTCTGTTTCTGTATGCCTTTGTTCGTGTTCTTTTGCCTGCCTGAAATGTCCCATCCCACCTCTGGATGTCAAAATCGTATTTATTTTCGACACCTAAAATATCATCTTTTCTAAATATCTTTTCCAGTTTTTCTTAATCTTTTCTTTTTCTGACCTAATCTTTGCCTTTCTTGTGACACTTNCTTTTCTTTTTCTGACCTAATCAATATCATCTTTTCTAAATATCTTTTCCAGTTTTTCTTAATCTTTTCTTTTTCTGACCTAATCTTTGCCTTTCTTGTGACACTTTACATTTTCCTTTTAAAAACATCTTTTTGGCTTTGTTACACAAGGAATATATGATTATGTTCTCGTTGTATACTATGCCAACATTATACCCTTTACTTTCTGCCTTATTAATTGTATAGAGTACTGGCCTATGAGCTCTTTGAAGATAGACTCTGTGTCATCTTTGAGTGGCAGTGTGTTGGAGTAGAAATAGCATGGATTTGGGATTATACAAAATTGTATTGAAACTTTACTTTCCACTGTCACTCTGTGATCTTGTGTGACTTAGTCTCTCTGAGTCTCAGTTTTTCTTTTTGTAACATAGAAATAATATATACTACTTGGGGTTGGGTGATAAGGACATGGATAATTATTATTTTAATACAGTATGTAATTTTTTTTTTTTTTTGTCTTTTTTCGTGTCCGGCAACGGATCACAACCCTCAGTGTCGCGCCCGTACCGGACCGGGACCGGCAACGGGATCGCAACCCTTGGTGTTGCTCCCACACCTCGCTCAGCCAGTGAGCGGGAACCAGTCTGTATGTGAGATCCGAACCCTCAGCGGGAGCGCCGCCGCACTCCCAAGTGGTGCACTGTAGCAGTGCGCCACCGGGCCGGCCCATACAGTATGTAATTTTGAAAAATGTCTTTGAAAGTCAAATGTCATAAAATAGAGCAATATACTATGTGTTATAGTTGGTATTTTAGTATTTTATTCTCAGAGAGCTAAAAGAATATCAAACAATCTCTAATGTGATCACAGTTATGTGGAAGCTGCTGCCCTTATGCCCAAGCAATTTAGAGGGCTAGTGAGAAAGTTCACCAGCAGCTCAGCCTTCTAGGGTAGGATACCATAAGCTTGGAACAACTGACCTTGTGCCCTTCCTGAAACTCCCATAAGGTCCTGGATAGTAGCTTGAGTGGACTTGGATATACACCTGTGCATTACGATCCAGCAACCCATTCTTCACATGCACGTGGGTCCTGGCACACTGCAGAATCTCTGGTGTACAAATTTAGCTGTTTTGTCTGTTTTATGTAATGACTAGTGATTAAGTTTAATTTGAGAAAGTAGAACGACAACAAAATTTTTGACATTTACTGGCTTAGAGGAAAATATATTGCTGTAGAGTATATGAGATAATTCTGGAGAGAATCCAAATAGAGGTGTATTTTTGTTTACTTTGTTTATGTACAGTTCTTTGGACTACAAGTACCCTTCAAATATATTTTACCTTTT